GGGAACGTTGGCTTCCTCCGTCACTGAAGCAAGCAAGCCTCATGTTCGCTTCAAGCTGCCTGGCTGCCGGCCGCCATCTTGGTTGGCAGTTAATTTGCATATCGCCCTGATTAGCCAATGGGAAGGGTAGCGGAGGTACGGTTAATTACCACGTTTCTCTATTATTAGATAGGATAGATATCGAAAAGACTATTTGTCTTGTTTCTTAACTGTCTTAAAGATAAAAAGTTAGAAAGTTTTAATTACATTCTAGTTACAGTGTCAAGAAGCTTACTAGTTAAAGTAGTAAGAAGCTTCTTTCTGAGAAATGCTTGGGGAAAGAACATTTGGTTTTATCTATTTTGTTTTACAGTATGAGCATAATTGAAATGTGATATCCATAAAATATTTTAGTAAGAAATTGATCTGTGTGTGAGGAACACTGGTCTCATGATACGGAAAAATACCTTAGCCAATATTTGTGGATTGACATCTAAGCCTATATCTACTCTGTCCTGATTGCTGTCACCTGTTGTCCCTGTCCTCTTGCTGAGACCTGATGGGGTCAGGAAGCAAGGGGTACAGGCCATTTAAATGCCCACTTAATAATTCCAAGGCTGCCTTTCTCTCTAATTCTTGGGGGTGTTCTGGAGCCCAAGAGCTGTAGAAGAGGTATTATCTTTCCAGAACAGAAAGACAGCAAATGGCACCCAAATGACCTAACGGCGGGGGGGCGGTGGTTATCAGGCCACTTGACTGAGGTATGGGAACATCTCTGTGATGGACTTGTACCAAGTATTTCTATTTGTTTCTTTAAGTTCAAGCAGACTCTTACGTAATTTTCAGGACAGTGGCTATAATTCTGAAGTTTGGTTCTAAATCTTGGAACACATCCATTTTCTTTTCCTCTTTTGAGACTGTATTACTTCTGTTTTTCAGTTACCTTTATCTTTGGCTTAAACTAAGACACTCTCATATGAAGAATTTTGGCTTCAAGAAATGTTCTGGAAATCTTATTAAAATTTGATGTCACAACAGTTCCCGCTGGATTGAGACCAAAAAGACAAGTAAAAGAAGTAGGGTCCTTTGCACTCCATGAGAGTAGCGTTTTTCGCTTTGGAATAAATAGGCAGCTCTGTTTGTTAGCCAAAGTCATAGATAGGTCTTGTGGATTAGTTAACTTAGCACCAAAACATTAGTTAACATACCAAAAACTTTTTCACAAGTTACATGAGAAGAGGGAATGATTCAGAGAAAGAAGGCCCATCACCAAAATATCTCCAGAAACCAATCCAATGTATACTAACCCAGTGATTTGCTGTCTATGTGAGTGCAGCGCAAATACTCCTGAACTCTGCTGCTTGGAGCTCTGAGCATTGGATGGCCTGGGGGTCTTGTTAAAATTCGGATTCTGGTTCAAGAGGTCTAGGTGGTGCCTGAGATTCTGCACCTCCATCAACTCCCAGCTGATGCAAACACTGTCAGGGAAAGACCACACTTTGAGTAGTAAAGATCTAAATGTCAGGAAGTGTACATTTAAAGCCAACGTTACTCAACAAACTGCTAGAGAATATTTTAAGGTTTAATGAGAATGGGTATCACCAAACACACACCAAAACTGTTTCTTTAAAGAGAATGCCCCTAGCCAAATTTTTCTTTATTGAATATCTGAAAAGTTAAAAATGCAAACATTGAGACATCTTCTTTACATCTATGTGATATGTCAGTGTCATTATTACTTCATAGGAAAATGCCTTGTGTCAGATTTTGCTTGAATTCTCTCGTTCAGAGAGGCACAAAAAGATTTATTTATTTTTAATCTCAGTATATCTTGCTTGTACAGTGATCTGGTTCTGGAACTGGGAATTGAGGCTGGTAGCCAGGTGACTGGGCCAATATGACTGTGGGAATTGTTTGGTCAAAGGGAATGGTACCCTATTCCCGATGGGAGCACACCACTCCACCTGTGTGTTTGGGGTGGAAGATCCTGTGTGTTTGGGGGTTGGGAAGCATGCAGGGAATGTGTTGGAAAGGAGTTCCTTCACTTGAGAGTGAGAGACTGGTTAAAAGTCAAACTAACAAGTGCTGGGCACGTGACAGAAGCTGTGTTCTCCATAGAGCAGCCGTTGGTGCCGCAGTCACAGACGGAATATGGAAGACACCGAAACGCCTTCTGACTCAGTATGAAATTTTATGCTTTTAGTTTCACACGTTTTTCAAAATAACTAGTTCTCTTTCTTCTTTTTCAGAGGAGTTGTTTCCATGTTCATTTTGAAAATGACAGAAACCCAAGCTGGAGAATACCTGCTTTTTATTCAGAGTGAAGCGACCAATTACACGATATTGTTCACAGTGAGTATAAGAAGTAAGTGCCGCTTGCTACAAGGTCCTCACAGTAGGCCATGCCCTTGTTGAGAACCCAGGATCTTTCCCATCTGCTCTGCACACAACATACAGGTTTCCTTCAACATGGAGTGGAATTGATTGAATTCACTTCAACCATCCATATAACGGGTTGAGACTCTTTGACATGACCCGGGGACTATCAGAATTAGCGCTCTGGGCCAGTACCGGTTTGGCTCAGTGGATAGAGCATCAGCTTGTGGACTGAAGGGTCCCAGGTTCGATTCCAGTCAAGGGCATGTACCTTGGTTGCAGGCACATCCCCAGTAGGACATGTGCAGGAGGCAGCTGATTGATGTTTCTCTCTCATTGATGTTTCTGGCTCTCTGTCCCTCTCCCTTCCTCTCTGTAAAAAATCAATAAAATATATTTTTTTAAAAAAAGAATTAGCGCTCTGAAAAACCCAGGTAGCCTCAATTGAGGTCCCCCATTTTTTTCAGTGACAGATAGCTGACATGAAGAAATGGAAAACATTTTAGTCTTGGATTCAGAAGACCTGGATTCTTATTCTGGATCTGATATTACCACCTCTGGCAGGTCGCTTAATCACTCTGAGCCTCAATTTCTCTATCTGTAAAAAAGAGATAAAAACACAGACCTCCTGGATTGTAAGATCTTAGCCCTATTCATGGTCTCTGAGGCTATGAAAATGTCTGTGTCTGCTCTTTCCAATATGGTAGCCACCAGCCATGTGTGGCTGTTAAACGCTTGAAATGTGACCAGTGTGACTGAGGAACCAAAGTTGTCATTTTAGTTAATTTTAATAAATTAAAAATTGAGCTTACATTGCCACATATAGTTAGTGACTTTGTGGTTATACAAATGCCAGGTCACTATGCAAACTGTAAGGAACAGCCATATGTTCTTAACCAGGGAGACGAGACAACTGTGTGGTTGGCAGGATCATCCCGGCATGTGTCTTCTGGATTCTTGTTTCCTCACTTGTGCACAGGCTTACGGACTGCACAGGTTCACACTATGTGCACTGAGCACTTTACCTCCCATGTCAGACTAGACCAGAGGTAGGGCATTCACATAGATCCTACTGCCCTAGGGGCCAGGGCAGGCCTCCCAAAACTCTGGGTTTGTGCCATGTAAGTTAGGTCCCTGGCTACACACAGTAGGACTTGCTAGGCTCCCTTCTTCCTTGTCAGTGACTGTGGTGTGTGTGAATCCAGCCCACAGAGACGCCCTGGCCAAGGACTACCCTTGGTGAGGGTGTTCTGCACGTAACTTCTCCATCCCCACAGCGACCCCGCCTGCATGTAGGTGAGAAAACGGGCACGCCAAGAGGTGTGGTAAAGGGCGCAGGTAGAGTTGAGTTTAGCCAGGTCTGCACTTCCTGCACCACACTGCACAGGGGCTTGCAGTCAGAGTTGCTAACAGAAAAAACACTGTGGCCATGTAGGTTTCCAGAAGTGTCATTTTACTGGGGTGGGGTGGTGTGTCAGGTTCTAAAATCAGCTTGTAAGGCAAAAATTAAGTAAAATTAAAATTTGTTTTGAAAAACTGTTTTATTACTCTGAAATTTATTGAATCCAACCTTAGAAGCTCAAAAGACAAGAGCTGCGCTTCTTTGCTCTTTGATTTTGGTCCTGTTCTCTGTCCTCTCCCCCATCCCTGACTCCCCTCTGTGGGACAATAAGTCTGTGTGCTTCAGGTTGGAAAAGAGTAAGAGATTTCTTCCTTTTTGTTTTTGTTTTGTTTTGTTATTCTCCATTTTTCCCATTGATTTTCCAAGAGAGTGGAAGGGAGGGGGAGAGACAGAGAAATAAACATCGATGTGAGAGAGACACATCTATTGATTGCCTCCTGTCGAGGGCCAGGAATCGAACCCTCAACCCTTTAGTCCTCAGCCTGAGGCTCTACCCACTGAGCTAAACTGGCTACGGTGTCCATTGATTTTTAGAGAGAGTGGAAGGGAGTGAGAAGAGAGAGAGAGAGAGAGAGAGAGAGAGATTGATTGGTTGTCTTCTTCACCTGCCCTGACTGGGACAGGGGGCAGGGGATCGAACCTGCAAGCCAGGTATGTGCCTTTGACTGGGAATGGAACCCCACCCTTCGGTGAGCAGGCCAATGCTCTGTCCACTGAAACACACTGGCCAGGGCAGGGATTTCTTGCTTGTTCTCTCTCTCTCTCTCTCTTCCCAAGTGTTAATATTTGAATTTTTTAAAGGTAAGTGGGCATCTGCTGTGTCTCTATTATATTTAAAATATCTCCTTTCCACTTATGATTTACAACGTAAAAATTTTTCAACAACAATCATTCAAGTAAATTGAAACTTGTTTTTAGCAGATGAAGTTTTAAAAAGTCAGATGGGGGAGACTTGGCAACAGTCAATGTGAAAAAGAGAAACCGTTTAGTGAACCACAGGCTCCGTGTTCACCGGCAGTGTGGCATGGCTCCTAAAAAAGGGAATCTGTGCCTTGGCCGTGTTCATGAAAATATGATGTCCAGGTTAAGGAAATCAGTAGATCTCCATTTGTTTTCAGATGAATATTGACAAAACAGGACAATCAGCATGGTGATGAACTTGGAATTCCTTAAGTGAGGAACAGTGGAAGGAGTTGAGAATGGTTAGCATAGAGAAGGGAATATTTTGAGGAGAGGAGAAGATTGAGGGCAGTGTGATGTACAGGAAATTCTTCTGGCATCTGAGTCAGGAAACCTGGTCTAATTAGAGTAATTATCTCCCTTAACCTGTGTTTCTGATTTTTTTTTCTTTTAGTAGCAAATATTTTCATTTTTCAATTACAGTTGACAATATAACATAACTAGAGGCCCGGTGCATGAAATTGGTGCACAGGGTTGCGGGGGGGTCGTCTCTCAGCCCGGCCTGCACCCTCTCCAATCCAGGACCCCTTGGGGGATGTCCAACTGCCTCTTTCAATCATGGACCGCTGGCTCCTAACCACTCGCCTGCCTGCCTGCCTGATTGCCCCATCCCCTCTGCCTGTCTGCCTGATCTTCCCTAACCACCTCCGCCTGCCTGATTGCCCCTAACCACTTCTGCCTGCCTGCCTGATTGCCCCTAACTGCTCCCCTACCTGCCTGATTGCCCCTAACTGCTCCCCCGCTGGCCTGATTGCCCTAAACCGCCTCTGCCTTGCCCCGCATCCGGGACCCAGGATTCCCTCCTCTGGCCAGTCACAGGCACCTGGAATCTGGGCGTCTCTCCCTCTGGCTGGCCGCAGGCCCCCAGGACCTGGGCCAGCTTCACCCAGGCTGGCCACAGCCACAGGGGACTGTGGGCAGGTGGCTTCGCCCCAGCCGCTGGTGCCCGCAACCATGGAGTGGGTGGCTTGTCCCTCTCCTGGGCTACAGGCACAGGCATAGCCGCTGGCACCCGGGACCGTGAGGCGTGCGGCTTTTTCCTCTCCTGGGCCGCAGCCTGGTTGGTTCCCATTCCTCTCGCGAGCTCATTTGTGCCTGGCTGGTCCCCAATCCTCTCTCCCCAGTGTTGAGTGTCTGAGCCGTGATGGCATGAGGGCATGATGACCATTTGCATATTTGCTCTTTTTTTTTTTTTTATTGTTCAAAAGTTTGTAATGGTCTTTATTATCCATGAATGAGTGAGATCATGTGGTATTTTTCCTTCATTGACTGGCTTATTTCACTTAGCATAATGCTCTCCAGTTCCATCCATGCTGTTGCAAATGGTAAGAGTTCCTTCTTTTTTACAGCAGTATAGTATTCCATCGTGTAGATGTACCACAGTTTTCTAATCCATTCATCTACTGATGGGCACTTAGGCTGTTTCCAGATCTTAGCTATGGTGAATTGTGCTGTGCATATTAGCTCTTTATTATATAGGATATTAGTTTTGGGTATAAAGCACAGTGGTTAAACATTTATATAACTTAAGAAGTGTTTGGTTTCTATTTTAAATATATGAAAGATTTTCATGTGGAAGCAAAGCTACATTTTAAAAGAAAATGGCTCTAGAGGGTAGAATTGGGACCAATGGTCAGACATTGCAAGAAGAGAATGTAAAACCACCAGAAAATGGAATATTTGCAACTCACAAATCAACAAAGGATTAATAGTCATATAGATGGAGAGCTCCTATAAATCAGTAAGAAAAAAAAACACAGAAAAATGAACAAGAGACATAAGTGGTCATTTCTTTTTCAGAACATGAAAACTAAATGGTCAATAAATATGTTAAGTTAATAATTGAAAAATGCAAATACCACAACAAGATATCATTTTACACCCACTAAATCAGGGGTCCTCAAACTACGGCCTGCGGGCCACATGCAAATACAAATATTGTATTTGTTCCCGTTTTGTTTTTTTACTTCAAAATAAGATATGTGTAGTGTGCATAGGAATTTGTTCATAGTTTTTTTTTTAAACTATAGTCCGGCCCTCCAATGGTCTGAGGGACAGTGAACTGGCCCCCTGTTTAAAAAGTTTGAGGACCCCTGCACTAAATGGTTGAAAATTCAGAAGTCTCGGTGAGTATGTAGAGCATAGGCAGTCTCATATCCTGCTGTGTAAGTGGGAATTAGTACATATAACCACTTTGGAAAACAGATTGTCATTATGTGTAAAACTGAATGTGCTCATACCATATAAACCAGCAGTTCTACTCCTGGGTATATTCCTAAAGAAAGTTACACACTGCCTCAGTAGGAATGCACAGAGTATTCATAGCACCATAGTTGATAATACAAAAACCTGGAAAACACTCAATGTCTACTGTAAGGAAATGGAGTCATAGATTGTGGTATATCACCAATGAACACTGTGTAGTAGTGAAAAAAAAAGATGAAGTATAGCTACATGCAGAACCATGGATGAACTAAAAATATAAGATTGGATCAAAAAATGAAGTTGTATGAGACTACATATTGAATGATACCTTCTGTTGAAGTTCAAAAACAGTGCAAAGAAACTAACACATTGTTTAGGGCAACATGTCTGTGTGGTGAAAACATTTTTTATTTTAATTTTATTATTGTTACTATTATTATTATTATTACTATTTTAAATCTTCACCCAGGATATGTTTAACACATTGTTTAGGGCAACATGTCTGTGTGGTGAAAACATTTTTTATTTTAATTTTATTATTGTTACTATTATTATTATTATTACTATTTTAAATCTTCACCCAAGGATATGTTTCTATCTGTTTATTAATTATTTATTTACTTATTTATTTGAGAGAGATGTGAGAGATTAATGTGAGAGAGAAACATTGATTGGTTGCCTCTCATAGGTTCCCGGATTGGGGATCAAAGCTGCAACCTAGGTATGTGCCTTGCCCTCGAATCGAATCTGCAATGTTTTGGTGCAAGGGACAGTGCTCCAACTAACTAAGCCACCCAGCCAGGGCAGTGACAACATTTTTTAAAGCACTGGAATGTTAAACACAAAATTCAGTATAAAGATTACCTAGGGTCCAGAGATGGGGAAAAGCACAAAAGTACATTCAAAGGTGTTTATTAATATTCCGGTTATTAAGCGAGTATGAGTCTATGGGCATTAGTTTTTATTATTATGCTCCAGAATGTATAGTTCATAGTAGAGGCCCGGGGCATGAAATTCGTGCACCGGGGGGTGGGGGAGAGTCGTCTGTCAGTCCGGCCTGCACCCTCTCCAATCTGGGACCCCTCGGAGGATATCCGCTGGCACCTAACCGCTCGCTTGCCTACCTGCCTGATCGCCCCTAACCACCTCTGCCTGCCTGATTGCCCCTAACTGCTCCCCTTCTGGCCTGATTGCCCCTAACTGCCTTGCCTCGCCCCTGCTCCCAGGACCCAGGATTTCCTCCTCCAGCCGGTCGCAGGCACCTGGGACCCGGGCTTCCCTCATCTGGCTGGCCGCAGGCACCCAGGACCTGGACCCAGGCCGAAGCTGCAGATGCCCGGGACCGTGGGGCGGGCGGCTTGTCCCTCTCCTGGGCTGCAGGCACAGCCGCAGCCACTGGCGCCCGAGACTGTGGGGTGGGCGGCTTGTCCCTCTCCCGGGCTGCAGCCTGGCTGGTCCCCATTCCTCTCTCACGAGCTCATTTGTGCCTGGCTGGTCCCCATTCCTCTCTCCCCAGTGTTGAGTATCTGAGCCGTTATGGCGTGAGAGCATGACAATCATTTGCATATTAGCTCTTTATTATATAGGATATTCTTTTGTGTATATATGTAAACACATACACATATATGTATTATACTAGAGGCCCAGTGCACAAAATTTGTGCACGGGTAGGGTCCTTAGGCCTGGCCGGCGATCAGGGCCTATCAGGGCCTTCCATCTGCCAGTCAGGGCCTTCCTTCGTTTGGCGCCACCCCCTGGTGGTCAGCGCACGTCATAGCGAGCGATCGAACTCTCCTGGTGGAACTCCTGAGGGGACACTTTGCATATTAGGCTTTTATAGATAGAGATAGTAATATATATCTTATGTAATACTTTAAGATAAATTTATTATAAGATGGGAGATTAGAATTTAGCATAGGGAAACTTTCTTTTTAAAAAAGGTTTGTTGAAAAGTGGAAGGATCTGCTCAGGGAAGTAGTGAACTCCTGTCCATAGAGAGGTCCAAGCAGAAGTGGAAAGTAAGTTTATATATTAGGCATTGTGGGAGTGGCACAGGGGGAAGGGAGAGGTGTGATGGTCCAGTGTAAGCAGCAGGCTAAACTGAACCTCTCAATTCTGTTCCAGTTCTTTTTAAAAGCTTTATTTTTTAAATTACAGTTGACATTCATTATTATTCAGTTCCAGTCCTACCTCTGTCTTATTATACTTCTGCATTCTAAATTTGTGTATTTCTGCCTACATAAAATTATGGGAAGAAAGTTGGGTCTTAAACTATATAAGAATGGGTTTTAAACTTTGATAGTTCCAGTTTTCTTTTTTCTATCTGTATCAATATTTGTATGTTCACATGGCCTCACTCCACTCATCTTTATTTGTCTGTGGACTTAGGAAACACCCAAGAAAACTGGCTAAGAGCATAAATGCTAAAGTTGGTGTTTCTACTAGAGTTGAATTTAATATGTTGGTGAAGGTTATATTGTTATATATATATTTGGACCGGAGCAGATGACACTGCTATGTTATAAAATACTAGCCTTTCTTTTTTTTTTTTTTTTTAAAAAAATGTTTTTATTTATTTTTTTTAGAGAGAGAGAGAAAGGGAGAGGGATAGAAGACAGAAACATCGATGATAGAGAAGCATTGGTTGGCTGCCTCCTGCATGCTCCCTACTGGGGATCGAGCCTGCAACCTGGGCATATGCCCTGACCAAAAATTGAACCAGCAACTTTTAGGTGCATGGGCAATGATCAATCCACTGAACCACACTGGCCATGCAATATTAGCCTTTCTTAATGATACAGAATTTTTTTGAGGGTACTGCTAATACAATTTTTAAAATGTTAAAATACTAATAATTTGTGATGCTTTAGATACACTGCTTTACACATTAAGGAGACCATACTTTAGAAAAATGGAAAATGAGGACGCCCTGGTCTGCATATCTGAGAGCATTCCAGAACCAACTGTGGAATGGGTGTTTCGTGATTCGCAGAGTGAAAGGTACGATGTGTATATAGAGGAAACTGTGATGATTCCTATACTTATTTGGTCTTTTTCTAACACAGTTGATGTCATACTGGATGCACAGTTGAACTTGTCACCATGTTAACAGGAAACTTTGGCGTTTGGAATGATTAGCTTGGACTTTAACAGGGGGCGAGGGGGTCTCTGTTTTAGTAAGGAGGCCTTTTGGAACTCTCCTATGTTGCCTCACTAAACTGCAGGGTCCTCCCTGGACATAACACAACACGAATAAAAGCCCTTTAAGTTACAGGGTTGTTAGCTCCCTGAGTATCTGGTTGGGGAAAAAGAAAGGTATGGACTGTAGTGCATTGTTCCCTATAAGTAAGAAATTCCCTGGAAATAAATGCTTAATTTGTGGTTATTCTGTTTATTTTGGAAGAGAGCAGTTTAAATTGATTGTTTAAGGACATAGAATCTGGCCTGAGTTTGAACCCTGGCTTGCTAACTAACTGTGTGGCCTTGAGCATGTTGCTTAATCTCCTTTCTCATCAGAAGAATGGGGATGGTAACCGTACTTATCTCATAAGATTGCTATGGTGATTAAATGATTTGCAAATTTTGAAACACAAAGAACTATGCCTGGAGATGGTAAGTACCACATAACTGTTTACTTTTGGTTTTTAAATGTGCAATCGCTAAATTTTCACAAAGTAAAAATGTATGCAATTTTAGCTAATTAAAATTTATTTAACAACTTTTGTTGTAAAATAGGACGAAAGGGGAGAAAAAGAAATGATATTAATGTGATCCCAAATTTTAGATGGGAAAGAAAAAGAGATTACCTGTAGATAGGTATGTGATGTATGCATAGACAACAAGAAAATTCGCCCTGACCGGTTTGGCTCAGTCGATAGAGCATCAGCCTGCGGACTCAAGGGTCCTGGGTTCGATTCCGGTCAAGGGCATGTACCTCGGTTTCGGGCACATCC